TGCTCCTCAGGGCCACAAAACTTAAACTACTTTTAACTAGTGCAGTTCATTGTATTAAAAGATTCCAAAAAGCAGTGCAGAAAGTGACTGAAATTTAGGTGATTCTCAACCAATTTCTTAAAGTGTAAGTGTATAAATCTGGGTCCATTCCTGGCAAGTGATCTGTATGCACAAAAAGGCGTTTTTTACTGCAAAGATGAGAGGAAGATAAGCAAGTGGGTAATTAATTACACAATTAAATAGTTATTGTAGACTCACGAGCCTCCAATACTGTTCAAAGGAATTGTGAATGCAAAACATTCCAAATAAGACTTTGTGAAGAAAGTTTATGATAAATAATGACAATCTTATGATTATATGTTTAAATATTTTTAAAAAACTGTTAAAATACTGAAATGAGCAGAAAACTGGTTATAGGATCTTCTTTCAAAACAGAAGAAGTGATTTTACAATTTTCTGCATATTGAGGCTCCTCCTCTCAATATTTATGAAACCCTCAGTAATTGCAAAAAGTTATTAATTTTTCTGCTTTTTGCAGAGGAAACAAAGTATCAGATTAGGAGAAAAGTGAATCTATATAACCTATATAATATATATATGGATATATGCATATACCATAATTCTTAATCAGAAATTTGTGTACAATTACTGTACATTTCATACAACATTTTTAAAATTTCAACACTGCAGGTTTAGTTTTCCTATTCCTAAGTTAAAGGCTTTGAAGAGAGACCTGAATGGTAGCTGGTTTAAAATCAAGTCAAATAATAGCATTCAACTACTTGCTTTACATTCTCAAGAAGGTTCATTAAAGACAGAGTGAAAAACTTCTCTTAAAAGTATATTTCTGAACGGTTATAGATCTTATTCTCTAGTTTTAGAGCAGTGGCACTTTAATGTGTATTTCCTAAATTATACTTTGAATGATAGATTTTAAGAATGAAGGTTGGATAAATTGGTCCTGCATTAGAAAGACTTCAGAGGGTCTGTATTTTCATTCTTCCTTTGACTGGTTCTTGTGCACTAATATGCTTTCTCTTTAATTATTTGCAATTCTTTCCTGGAAGGGGAAGGGGGAGCAAAAGGAAATGTTATGTTTGTTTTATGTTTTCATACCTCTCTTTAATGATTTGGAGTGATACACAAAACCCATTTCGACTTGAATAGATATTGGCATTTTTTGTGGCTGTGCTCAGGTTTTGCTATAAAAGTGCAAAGCATTCTCAGCCTCTTGTTTATAGCAATTAAAAATAAAAACTCGTGCAAAGACTGATTAACGGAGTGACTGACCAGCATCAGCTAACCTGTGGCACACCCATTCCCCAGGGGGTCACCTACCCTGCCTGCCACGGAATTTGGAGCAAGTGGGCCCCCCCATTAGAGAGAAGTAGATTAGCAACCACTTCCTTCTGTGGTAAGTAACTTTGTATTTTTGTCTTCCTTCCATTTGTAATGTACCGAGTGTTTTGAAACTGATTTTTTTTCCTTCCTTTTCATCCACGTGTTTTGTTTTGTAGGTTCCTATGCAGGAGCTGTCATTGCAATGCCTTTAGCTGGGATTCTAGTGCAATACACTGGGTGGTCTTCTGTGTTCTATGTGTATGGTATGCATTTCTGCTCCTTTCACTCCAGTACTGTAGGAACTCACCTCACCCTTTGCAAAAATGAGAAAGCCACTGTTAAGAGGACAAAAACCCCACAGAGAAGTGGGGCTTCTAAGCTAAAAATACAATCTAGAGAAAAGGACAATGAAAGAACAGAATTTAGAGAGAAAAGTATAAGAAAGCAACATGATAAAATAAGAAAAGCTAGCTCGTGTTGAAGCCTTTGTCACTTTTAGCACAAGCAGTGCAAACTTCTGTGCAGATCTGTGTTATCTCTGCTCACATTGACATCTCTCACACTGCCCTCAATAAGTTGTTCTTATTTTAATCTAAAGACCTACATAACTTTATTCACACCAGTTGTGTTAACCTACCCTGACAGTAAAGAATGCCCCAAGGGAATTCATTCTGCATTTATGTGAATTAAGTGGAAGCATTATAGAAATTTAATAAACTGCTCAGGAAGTGCATTGCTATGTTGAAAAAATTGCCAGTCTTCTATTTTGCAGGTAAAAAATTTAGTGCAGTAATTAAAAAGCATCATCTTAAAGCGGAATGGGCCTTCATTTACAGTTTAGTGAAATGAAATGGAAGCTGTTTCATTGCATTGAATTGTACAAATTGATATTAAAATCAGTGAATATTCACTTCCAGTAAAAGAATTCTGTAAATGAAGCAAAGACTACTTTGCTGTGCTGTAGTTCTGTATGTATTTTGCACAAGTATTATTCACAGGATCAAACTCTCTGTTGGAGAGTTATATCTACTGAGAGAAATCAGGAAAGAAGCACTGACAACAATTGCCATATAAATTTGTTGTAATTCTTCACAGAATTTTCTTCCTTTTTTGCTGCTTTACTGTGCATTTCTTTTTAAAGTCTTTCTTTCCATTCCAAAGGGAGCTTTGGTATAGTCTGGTACATGTTTTGGCTTTTGGTTTCATATGAGAGTCCTGCAAAGCATCCTACAATCACAGATGAAGAAAGGAGATACATAGAAGAAAGCATTGGAGAGAGTGCCAACCTCCTAGGTGCAATGGAAGTAAGAATATTACTCACACACTGGTTTCCAATGACATAGTCAGAAAAATAAATGTCCCAGCACCCAAACAAAGACAACAACAAAAAAATCAAACACTCTCCTTTAAGATCAAAAAGTGTATTTTGAACAATTTGAACAAATGTGTTCCTGGGGGATGGGAAGATCTTAAATCTGCTGGTGGGTTTCTGGGTGGATACTGATTTTGCACCAAGAGAACACAGGTTCTAGTTCTCCTAGCAGATGACTCATGGAATTCATGCTTCTTTTACTTCTCCAAATTATAAAAAAGAGTCACAGCTACCTTTGAAACTTCAACTTTATTTCCACTTTTCTTATATCTTGAAAAAGTCAGTTTGCTTCCTACATAGCAATTTCTGGACGGTTTTCCTCTTCCTAAAAGCAAACTGCAGGAAAAGCACTACCCAGCGTCTCTTGACTTGCCCAGAACATCAGAAAATGCCAATCCTTATTATTTTATGTTTTGGCTGCCAGAAAGATTGCAAGTTGCAATAGATCATGCTTTGAGATCCATAAGAACGTTTCCCATTATTGCAGCAATTTTGCTTGAGACATGTTATTAAGCCTCTCATAATCTTAGCTCTGTATTGGTTTAGTTCTCAAGATCTGCTAAAAACCATGTATGAACTCTGAATTTTCCAGCCACTTGACACTCCAATCATGCTAACTAATAGTAATTTTATTTCTGTAACTGCTGAAAAGCTTTAAAGAAACTATTGCCATGTTTGCTCACTCAGGAAAATTAAAAAAAAAATGTTTAAGCCTCACTTCATCTGCTTAAATTTTTACACCATCCATTCCCAGCAGACCCTCATTATATTTTCTATTTGGTCAGAACACTGGTTCTTGATTGAACTCAGGAATTAACAATTTTCATCTTAGTAAAATCTTTGTTTCGTAATAAGTAAGGAACTGAAAATATTAAAGAGTTGTTTTTTTGATAGCTGACATTTTTAGGTGTTATTGAGGGCCTGTCAATTGATTATTCAACAGCATTCAGTAGAGTTCATGGTTTTGAAAATCTGAAATTAGTTCCTTTGAAGGATGTCCATACCATTCTAATTTAGACTGTACAATTTCTGTCTAATTTTTATTCTGGCTTTTTAATTAAACATTTTTTTAATGATTATCCTATATCAATAGTTCAGTTGCTTCTAAAATATTTAAGCTGAAATTCTTCCCATACCATCAAGTCAGATTTTCTGGCTGGCTTCTCATTAATTAAGTCACTTAATTAATCCTTACTTCTCACTTAGGTGTAATTTAATAGGTATACAGGGAGTTGCACATATCTATCTATGGGCTGTTTTTCTTTGAAGAAAAGTCAGTATTCAAATAAAAAATAGACTGAATTCAGCCTGAATTCCTGCTGAAGTGATTTTCAAGCACTTATCTGGGTATGGATCCTGTGTTTGGATCAACACAGATGGGTTTGTGGACAGGTGCTGGGACTCAGCAGGATTGTCCATCTGTCTTTCTTTTTTTCTTTATGCAATGTATTTTAAAAATACACTAAAACAAACAAAAAATATATTGACCAAGCAGTTTTAGCTGAGGCTTGATTAAAAAAAAAAAAGAAGTAGAATACTGCAATTAAGATTTAAATACTAAAATACATGTTTGCAGTAAATCTGAATGAAAACATGTAGTTACAGTGTCAAATCTGACTGTTGCCTTACATACAGCAACATTGTCTTTTAAAGACATTATTATTCAGAGATATTATTATTTAAAATGTCATTTAAAGACATTATTATTTTGGTCTTATGTCCATGTATGTTCATATTTATATGAACTGAGATAAAAGCACTTTTATATGAGTGTTGTGATACAATTAAGGATCACTGAGTTTCTCCACTTGTGCATTTTGTAGTAATTTTATATGCTGTACATATATGTGCTTGTTGGACCACAGCTAAAAAAGGTTAAGGGAAGGGAAGATGGATAGCTGATAATGATCAACGTGGTAACTGGATCCCCTTTCTATGTTTCAGAAATATAAAACACCATGGAGAAAATTTTTTACATCTATGCCAGTCTATGCAATAATAGTTGCAAACTTCTGTAGAAGCTGGACTTTTTACTTGCTGCTAATTAGTCAGCCTGCTTACTTTGAGGAAGTGTTTGGATTTGAAATAAGCAAGGTATGTAAAAAGTATGTAAAGCTTTCATCTTCAGTAAATACACATCTACATTTGTAGTATTTATGAAGAATAGGAAAGAAAAGTGGTAAGAATCTTTATCATGGATTTGCATCTTAAATCTCACTCATCCCAGTTTTTGTTTCCTTGACCAGCACGAATAAGTAAAGTAAAGACTATGACAAAGGATAAGATAGAGAAAGGTGGAGGAAAGATGAGATTTAGTGATGATTTACTTGGGGTTACATGGCAAGTTAAATGCTCAAAACCAGATCATGCTTGGTATTAGAAAGGTGTCAGCAGACCCTGATCCCCAGGGGTTGCAGAATCCCACCAGAGCTGTATAGAAAGCATTGACAAAGGGATTTTTCCAGGTGCCTTTTAAATAGCAGGGCCATTGTGTTCCAGGAAGGATAGTGTAATTTATCACCTTTCTGTATCCCTTTAATGTGGTGAGAACTGCACCCCCTTTCTCATTTAGAAAGGAAATTTAAATGGTGGTAAGATGTGAGATACAGGGGTGATTTAAGGTTCCATGTGATTCATATGAAGCTTGGATCAGACCTGTAAGGTAAATATGAATACACACATGCAATCTATTGAACAGTCATCACAAAAGTACTGTGTCTTATTTTTATGTATAGCACTTTGAATATCACCAATATTTAGTATTTTATCTTTCACTACATACAAAGTTTTCCAGACATAGCTTTTGCCCACATGCTCTTTTCAGCTTGGTCAGAAATCAAAGATAAATAACAATTGTGCATGTGATGATGATCCATAGGGAATCTGTCTAGGCATGTGAGGCTTACTGCAAAGCTACATTAAACACCAGAAGAAATGTAACAATTCAGTTTTACACATTTGATCATGAATTTTCTGAAAATTCTGATGAGGGACTATGAGTGATGGGGAAAAAGCTTTAGCTTAAATATAAACTATGAAAACGATCTATATAAACTATAAAACAATCTACAACTATATATATATATGAAAACAATCTAGAAAGTGTCATGGCATCAGAGTTTCTTAAAAATTCTCACTGTACTTAATAACATAAAATAAAATGAAATAAAATAAAAACTTTACTAGTTTTGTTCATTTCATAACCCAAGACTTCTAGTTTTAACACAGAGTGCGACATTGAAAAGACGTAATTAATTAGCTGCTGAATATTTAAGAAATGAAGAATTAATGTTTTCTTATGGTTTATACTTTGCTAATTCTAATTTTAATTTTAGGTGGGTATCTTATCTGCTGTGCCGCATTTAGTGATGACAATTATTGTTCCTATTGGGGGACAAATTGCTGACTTTTTAAGAAGCAGACAGATTGTATCAACGACTAATGTGAGAAAGATAATGAACTGTGGAGGTAAGTCTTTCTGTTTTATTTAAAAGTTTCTTGGAGGGATTTGATGTTCATATTGTGTTCTGTGTAGAATAAAGAAACAAGCTGCACAGTTTTGTGTTCTTGGGAGGCAATCCTTCCTGCATTTTTTATGCAATGCCCATGTTACTAAATAAAAGAAAACACAGGTGCTCCCATTCACCATTTCCATATAGTTATTTGGTATTTGGAAAACCATTTAGAGTGTTAAAGAAATAGATGAGCTTTTGGAGGGTGATTTGTCTACTCTTAGCTACTTACTCAGTCTTAGCTCCTCATTTAAACACTTTGTGCTCTAAGAGAGCCCAGACAACTCTCTGGGATTCCATCCTTGACTTCTGACATGTTAAAGCCACATTAGCTGTGGACAGGGCTGGAAAATTCACAAGCAGGTTAAATGTATCTTCCCATCAGAGTTGGCTGGAATGACCTAACCACAACACAAGTATTTATTTTCATCTTAAAACTGACAGAAAGCAGCAATAAATTAGTATACAAAGAGTAAAATAAATATTGTTTGAGAGAGGAAGAACATGTGTTCTTTAGAGATGAAAGAAATACCCGATTATATCCCATTCTGAGGTAAAGTTTTATTTTTGTTCCTATGAAATATCATGGCACCCTAAGCCCTGCAGTACTTGAGAGGGAATTAAATTCAATGCCTGATTTTATTTATTATTTCACCAGGTTTTGGTATGGAGGCAACTCTTCTTCTCGTGGTGGGATATTCACACAGCAAAGGAGTGGCTATTTCATTCTTAGTGCTTGCTGTAGGTTTTAGTGGATTTGCCATATCTGGTAAGATTATATTATTATTAACACTAAACTATTTTATTTTAAGAAACAGAACATCTAGCTTTGCTTTTATTCATGGATAGTAATTAAAAAGCCCACTCACTTTGGAATTCCCAAGGGACATTATTTATGATCATTACAAAAGAATGTACATTTGTTATTACAGCTTTTATATTAAAATATTTCTTTTCAAATAACTCAATCTTTTCCATATTCATTGCACAAATTAGACTCTCATTCAAATGTTAATGTAGTGTTAAAACACTACAGATTTTTTCTTGAAATCAAACACAGAAGACAAATGGACTGGTATTGCACAATGATACCTAAATTTACACATCTTATTTTAAATAGAAGTATTTTATTTTTTTTCCACTGTCTATTGGTTATTGCTTTGTTAATATTGTATTATTTTATTAATTTGGGGCCTGTTACTATTATATTATTTTATTTTGTGGCCTAATTACTAGAATTTATTTTCTGAATTAAAGTTCAGCTATTCCCCTTTCTTGCTGATTCATCAACCCCTTGCCTTTGCCTTTCCCCTCCCCAAGCACAAATCACCTGCCCCCCTTGTTTTCCCACTGTGATTTTCGTATCCTCTCCCATGCTGGTTCCTTATGTCTCAAACAGGCTCTCTTTCATTTTGTGCCAAACATCTAAAATCTCCTCTAATCAAACCTGTCCTTAATGTCACACATTCTGCAAGGTATCATTCTTGTTTTGTACAATTTGGGAAGTGTATTGCACTTTCCCCAAGCTGACCATATCACACTACCTCCCTTTCCCCTTCTACTGTCTGTATCCAAAGGTTTGGTTTCTGTTTTCACTTATTTAAGTACTTATTTTGGGAACAATTTGTTCTGTCTCTTTAGATTATTTAAATAGTTAATGCATACATTTTCAACAGAAAATGCAAGAGAGCATGCAAATATCTTTCAAAATTAATTAGTAATTCTGTTATAGATAGTGCCTTTTTCTCTGATTTACCACTGATGAATAGAAAAGAACTCCCTTCTGCTGGTCTATGTGACAAAAAAGAAAAATGTGGGCAGTAGGAAAGGAACATGTTACAAACTGGAAGAAGAAAAGACATGTTATTTACAGCATGAAATGGTCATGTAAGGGACTATGAAATACAAATTTTTTCCCTGCCTGAATATCTTCTGGATTCTCTACTCCACACAGACACTACTGGGAGGTTTTGGGGTTTTCTTAAACTGCAGTTTTGGGAGAAAATTAACCTGGTATTCCTTTAAAATGTTTTCTTAAAAGAAAATGAAAACTCAAAGTCTGTCTAGGAACATGTAAGCATTAAAAGTCTCATTGGAATAAAGAAATGCAATTAAGCAGCCCAAATAAGTGATAGTAACAATGTCATGTCACTTTTCTCATCTGAAGCACTGCTCTGCTCTTGGTGTGAACACTCACTGACCTTTCTATTGCAGGATTCAATGTCAACCATTTAGACATTGCCCCAAGGTATGCTAGCATTTTAATGGGGATTTCTAATGGAGTCGGGACCTTGTCTGGAATGGTTTGCCCTATAATTGTTGGAGCAATGACAAAGAACAAGGTAAATGGAAATCCACTTTTCAAATCTTCCAGTTTGATACAACTGGTTTCAAGAGAAAGACCTTTCTGTAATGCAGCTTGCCAGGATATCCATATTGGAGCCTGGGACTTCCATCCAGGGATGCAAATTTGAGGCATGCTTCAGTATATGCCCATTAGGTTGATGCTTTTGTGGGCTGATAAATTTTTCAAAGAAAGATGGATATAAATATTTCTAAAATGGACTCTTAAATGTTTTAGCTCTGCTATCACAACCTCAATCCCTAATTTAAATCCTCCAGCTCAGAAGAGTTAAGCAAATCTGTGTGCAACTTTGATTTGGCAAATTTCTCCTTTACAGACACGTGAAGAATGGCAGTATGTCTTCCTCATTGCTGCTTTAGTTCATTACGGAGGTGTGATCTTCTATGGCATATTTGCTTCAGGAGAGAAACAACCCTGGGCAGACCCTGAACAGACAAGTGAAGAGAAATGTGGCTTTATTCATGAAGATGAACTAGCTGAAGAGACAGGGGACATTACTCAGAATTATGTAAATTATGGTACCACCAAGTCTTACGGTGCTACAACCCAGGTGAATGGTGGCTGGCCTAATGGCTGGGAGAAAAAAGAGGAATTTGTACAAGAGGAAGTACAAGACTCATACAACTACAAGGAAAGAGATTATTCATAACAAACCTAAATATTTGGTATATTTTGTAGTGTTTGTGATTAAATTCATTGTGATTGTTTGCACAGAAATAAAATGTGGTATAAACATGTAAACACATATCAGACAGGAAGGTCTTACTGTAAAAAAATACATCAAAGTGCAATCTGTATGAGTTGTGATGTTATCACTTTCATTAGGTTATATTTGTTCTATAAACATTAGAGTTTTAAGGGTTTACTGGTCAAAATTATAGAGGCAAGTAGATACTTTAGAGTATACAAGAGCTAAAACTCATAATTAAAGATTAAAGCACAACTAAGCAACCAAGTTGGCACATCTAATGCTCTTTTTAGAAAGCCAAAATTACTTGATCATTAAAAATGCACTTATATATTTGTTACACTGTATTGAAAGAGATTGTGTTAAAGACACACATTTACTCAGTGCAATGTAGTAGTTGTGTGTTTAGTCTAGGACAAGAACTTTCTGAAAGAAGAAAGGTTGAGTCCTGGGCTCTTACAAGGATTGATCCAATTCCCTTAATGGTAATTGTATCAAGCCTAAAGAACAAATAGGGCATATTGTATGTTTATCGTGATTACATGCTGCAGGCTACTCTGTGATAAATAAAGGAATTATTTAGGAGTTTTATACTGAATGTTTGGGCACAAATTCTTATTTCTGTTCTTTACAGAATCTCATGAAATTATAGACATTGTCATGTTCTTCCCTGCATTTATCAACTAATATAAAACAATATAAAATATTAAGTCTGATTTTTCAGGCAGCCTGGCAAATCCCTTTATCAAAAAACAAGCTTTATTATTCTATTCTTTGCAGTATATTCTGAATTTGTACAGGTGTCTTTAGAAAGAGAAAAAAATCCCCAATGTAACATACAAAAAAGTATAGTCTTTTACAAAATTCCAAAGAGAATTTTACTATGAGCAACTAGCCCTATGAAAAATGATGCATTTGTTTTGCAGAATATTTTGAAACAAATAGAAGAAACAGAGAATAATTTAATCCTTATTCTTCCCTTAATAGCTTTCATATTTTTACACATTGTGCCACAGTTGTATACATAGATATGTTTATTGAAGATACTGTAATTATAGAAAAATGTTGTTATTTTAGAAATCCCTGAAATAAAAGATGTATTTGTCTTTCGCTCAAACCTAATAATAATGGACACTGAATATGAGTAACATAAAAACTCACAATAAACCAAAGTGGTAAATAACTAGTGTTGGGTTGAAAGAAGCCAACAAGCATCACGCTTGTCTTTTTAGCATAACTCAACAGTGACTGCAACATTAGTGTACCAAGCAATAAGTGCAATGCATAATGAAGTGCATAATCTTCTAGATGATATATTAACCTTTATTTAGCTTGTTGTATATACTTGGGGTTGTTGGGATTGAACCAAACTGAACCAACTGAAGTTAGCAACACCAGACCACTTCTTAATACTCTAAAATGACAATGATCCATTTCTTAATTCAATCAAATGATTATTATTGTATGTAATAATCCATTCTGGATTCTTGGTCTGTTCATTGTATTGTGCTAGTGATTGGAAACCCTGCTACCGCAATATACAACTTGAGGATTGTTTTTTTTCTCCTTTTTTTTAATGCAAACCATACCTTGACCTTAAGAAAAAAGTATTTTGCTTTGTGCCTCAAAGTGATGTAAAACGTGACCATAGCTTTTGCTGTGTTTAATGAAAAAGATGTGGACTGTGTCACTTTTGTTGCTGCAAAAAGTGTTAATAAAACGCTCTATTTATCCTTTTATATAAAAAGGACCACTATAGTTTCTTGTAATTTTCAGATGTGTTTTAATATAGATGACAAAGGTTATAGTCACTGCAGAGCAAAATTCTGCTATGGACATGGAGAGAGTCTCACACGGGAGCCCTGCTCCATCCCCAACATTTTACATTGTCTGTTCTCACCTCCAGCCGTGTGCATGACTGTGCTGGGACAGGCACCTGTCTCAGGATAACCCAAATTTCTCCATTTTGACCCAAATTTCTCTCATAAGGATGGCTGGCACAGGTGTGTGACAGGTGCAGTGAACCTGGGAAAGACAGACTAATCTGTGCTAGTGAAAAAGCTGGCATAGATCAGCATTCTCTAAAGAAAATGAAAAGCTACACATTGCTGTTTGCAGAATTTTTCTCTTTCTTGATTATGCAACAAGGCTCCTTAACTGAAACATACTATTTTCCATCAAGTTTTTAGATAAACACCACAGCAGTCAGTAACTGCAAGAAACCCTATATTAAAAATAAGTATTTTTCTAATTACTTTTCCATAATTTTCTTTCACCAAGTAGAATAATGCAGAAACATCAAACTGAACAAAAGATTTCAGAATGCTAACCAGAGCAGTAACAGGCCCAGGGCTTTTCACCAACAGGCTGGCTGTCATGAGATGCTGAGTCAGTTAACAGACAAAGTTAATGCTAAATGTTTTGATGGACTGGTGTGACGTTGCCATAGAAACTTCCTGAAAGATTCAAAAGTAGGATAAGTAGGAGCTTCAAAATTACTGTTGTATTTATTGTGGTAAGTGGACAGCTCAGATAATACAAGCTAAATAAAAATCAATTATTCTTAGTTTTAAGTCTAATTTTACAGGTTCTGTATCTTGGAATTACTTCAATAATTTCCTTTCATTAAATATAGGTAGAGTTTTTTTCTTATTAGCTTGAGATCTTTGAATTATGTAGAACAAAGGAGAGACTTTAATCCAGCCGTTAGACACTGCACTGTTCAGCCAGCTACAACTCAGTGAGGACCCAACAATTGTCTGGGAATGCTACACTCCTCAAGGAACCACCACATTTTTTTTTTTTTTTAGCTCTCTGCTTCTGCTCCCTCACTTCCCGTTTCAATGGCAGACCAGAAGAATCCATTCTTCTGGGAAGGAGAAAGAGCATGATAGGTCTAAAGATTTTTACTTCTTCACAGACTCCTCTTCATGTGAAAATACAGGAAGCAATTACCAGGAACATGACAGAGGAGGAAGAAGGGGGAAATGCAGAAAATAATTGGGTTCTTCAAAGACAAGCAGCAGCAGCTGTGTCTGCTTTAGGAGAAAGGAGAGTTGAGGGGACATGACCCTTCATCTAAATCCCCATATTTCTTCTCAGTAAATAGGTTTATGTTTTTCTCTTGCTACTTCATTTTTATAAAGTAACATTGCTAAAATATACCTCGTCAGCCTCGTCTGAACTCTACCCTTTCTGCTCAGAGGTTTCTCTTCTGCTCAGGTTCAAAGCCTTGCTCTTCAAGCCTGTTGCACGGGTGTGGGGTGGTGCTCCCCTTTTGGAAGTCTCAGGAGCTGGAATAATCTCTGTTTGTCAGTCAGACAATGTTCACACTCACTGATGGTTTTGTCTTGTCACCAGTTTCTGTTCTGTTCCCCATCTGGTACTCCCTGCTCACTTACTAGGCTGGAAAAAGAGAAAGTGATGTTTGCTGACATTTTTATTTATTACTTGGTTATCTTTGCAGCGAGGCAAGTAAAAGGAAGGGGCAGAATCCAGGCTCTGTTTAAATTGTTAGAAAAGCTTTGCATTTCGATGGGCTGGAATAGCACCTCAGATGTTCACCTTCATGTCCTCAAATGATTCCATATAGACAGTATAAGTCAAATTGACAATTCTTAAAATATTTGAATCTCCCTCAGTGGGATGCCTTCTGTTAACACATACTCTTTGTTGCAGAGATAAAGCTATCATAAAGTGTTCTTTGCTTTCAAAAATGATCATGAAATTCAACTGATCAAATTAAAAAAAAAAAAAAAACTTTCCTAAGGGGAAAAAGAAAGCCTCAAGGTAAAGGTTGAATAAAAGTTACAAAAGAATATCTGCAAATACGAGTGAAATTCTCTTTCAGCATGAAGCTAGGAATAGGAATGAGGGTGGAAGTCAGAATAAATGTCACAGTTCAAAGCTGTACCATAAGAAAGATAACATCACAGTCTCAGTTGCTGCCTCTGAAAGATGAAATGTTTTGTTCCTTTCATGATAAGCTGTGAAAGAGTTTAAAAGCTAGTCTAAGTCTAGATTAGCTACTTAACAGCAGCTGCTTTTGTACTTATTTGGAATTTGTCTGTGTCTTTCACATGAATAATTTTCACTGCACTGGGAGATTTAAGAGTAAATACTCAAAGGACCTAGAACTACAGTCAGATTTTAATTAGATATCTATGGATATCCTCTCCATCCAGCTAGTGTGTCTCATGTTGCTATTCTAGCTTTGCTTAATGTCTCTTCACTCAGCTGTAACCCCACGCACAGCAAAGAATGAAATGTATTATTTGTGTACTTATAAGCCACTGCAGAAGCCTGTGTACTTAGTTATACTGAGGTCAAGGGCTTAGACAGCATCTTCCATGTTTGGGAATTAATGTCACAAAATTATTGTTGGCAAAAGTCTCCTTGGTAAAATTGTAACACTAGAAACATATAATCCTGGCAATTTTTGTTTCAGGTGAAGACACATTCTCTCAAACACCACAGGTGAAGTGTAGAAAACAATACAAAATTGTCAACAAATTTGTCTAACTCGTGACAGGCTCTTATCTATGAGAAAGTAGGTAGAGAATAAGCATGAAACAGATGTAATGTCAGACATAAAATATATGGATAAATTAGAAATTATAGGAAATAAAGCATTGTAGGAAATTTGAAGAAAACCTGACAGAAGAGCTGACAAAATTCCTCTTTTTCACAGAGAATCATAGGATGGTTTGAAATGGAAGTGACAGTGAGGAGAAAAAAATCTGGGTATGAAGTTCTGAATATGTGGTCACCCTCTCCTGGGTTAAGGTGGGGCCAGAAGTTGGCTCAGAAGCTGATTGCCACATTCTGTGGCAGGGTCACAGGGACACTTAGAGACCTTAACTGCCCTGAGCTTTTTGCACCTGCACCCCAACAAAAATGATGCTTGGAAGCAGGAAAGGAATTATGAGAAAGTGTGTAAAAGAGAAAGTACTGCATTGTTA